TGATCATGTGTTGCAGGGCTTGCCTTTCTAACATCATGCTCCCAAAGAATCTTTCATATTCTCTCAGATCTTACCATTGGAGTGCTCTCCACCGCTGCGACACTACGCAGCACCGCAGCATCATTTTCCTTTCCCCATTGGAGAGCTCAGCATCACGGTGTTGCCCACTCAGCGGCGCGATTTCCAAAGAAAATTTATGGAATAAAATTTCACTTTTCCTGTACGCTTCCTGACCTACTTATGAGTTTGTTAGACACTCTAGGACTTATAATTACTAATCAAATCAAAATCAAATAAACATTTAGTTTAATTGACCTTAATTATCTGGATGTCTGGACTGCACATATTACACAATCCCCTCATAGAAAATGTTGTCATCGACATTTCTAATACATAATAATTTTAGAGAAAATTCGCTTATAACTGCCTCATTTTTGCTTCTTTCTCACATGTTACTTCCCGCTCTAACATGTGCTTCCACTGGATCTTAACTATTGGAATCTGTTTATTCCTTAATTGTTTTACATTATAGGCCAGAATATATTCAAATTCTTCCATGTAGTTTAGATCAGGTTGCACTTCCACTTCAACTACATGAACTCTCTGATCTACATTTGATACATATTTCCTCAACACATACATGAAATACATTATGAATTTCTCATATGTGATCCAATTTGTAAGCAAATATTCCAATTATTTTTAGGACTCAGTTTGCTATTTTTTTTAAATTTGCTCACTCCTTTTATTAAAATGACTTTCTGATATACATATTCTATAACTTGGGACTCCACTGACTTATGGTTTGGATTAATATATTTCTTCTATTTGTCCTTAGCCATACTAAAATTTAATTTCGTCCCCAAAATTTCCTGAATAGCTCTCCACAATTTCAAGATGAATCTGCCATCACGATTAGTTACAATGAATTTAGGAATTCCATGCAACCTAATGATCTCATTCACATACAATTGAGTTAGTTATCAATAGAACCAGTTTGCCTCATTGGTAGAAAATGAACAAACTTTGTCAGTATATCTACAATCAACCACACTACATGGTCTTGTCTATACTAGGAAAACCCATAGTAAAATTCATAGTGATCTCCTCTCATTTTCACTCAGGAATATGCAATGATTATAATAATCCACTAGGCCTTCGATGCTCAGCTTTCACCTTCTAACATGCTTCACACTTAGAAATAAATTCTGCTACTTCTTGCTTCAGTCTAGGACACTAAACATGCACTTTAGATCATGGTATATCTTATTGCTACTTGGAAGAATAATACATCCAGAATTGTGGGCTTTATGTAAAATATCTTTTCTCAGACCAGCATTATCTACAACATGCTACCATAGAAAATCACATCCTGATCGTTCACTTGCAATTCAGATCTCTTCCCATACTAAATTTGATCTATCAATTTCACATATTCTTCATCTGCTTTATGAGATTCTTTAATCTTGTTTTATAATGAGGGTTAAACTATCATCTAGGAGATAAGTTAAATTTATACATTAGAAGAATTTGGGGTGTCAATTATTGACCCGACTCGGAAAATCCGGGTTCATGTCAACCCGCTTAACAAACGGGTCGGGTTCGGGTTGCAGTTTTTGACCCTTTTGAAAAATCAGGTTGGGTCCAGGGTCAACCTGCTAATCCGACTTTGATCTGATTTGACCCGAAATCTGAGAAGGCTAAAAAATTATCTATATCTGCTAGTTTTGCGTAATAGCCCACCTCAGTCATTTTCAGTGATTCTATGTCAGGCTTCAGTTAGACAGAGATACCTAATCGAAACTCCTCCAACACGAGAAGCAAACTCGTGTGGATACTGCCATATGGCCAAACAAGCGGAAGAGGGATACCGTGTCGGGCTTCAGTGTCGGATTTGAGATGGGCCAGATGGCTAAACGCCCAAACAAGCGGAAGGCAAAAACAAGGAAACTAGCAGGAAAACCTACAAGGAAGAACGCCAAACCACCTATAAGGAAGAAAACAAATTCAATTATTCAAGGAATTTTCATGCAGCATCCGAAAACAAATTCAAGGAATTTCCTGTAGCTAGCGCCCAACAGGAAAACCTATAGAATCCAATTGAGAGGAAGTTGGATGGAAGGGAAAATCTAAATTGAGCATCTTGACAGGTGCATATGCGGTTCTCCCAGCATTGGTGGTGACAACTTATAAAAGGGAAGGAAAACCTTCAACTTCCTGAGAGTTTGAAGAGGGAGTCCACACGGGTGTGAGGATCGGAGGAGGGTTCCGAACACGGGACTTTAGTCAGACAGGGTTGTTGGGCCGTGATTAGAGTAGAGGCGATGAGTTGAAGGCGGTTAGTTTTGACCGGTCATCGGAATCGTACTTGCAATTTAAAACCAAAACGGGATTGCAAGAGGGTTCATAGGTCGAGTCGGGTCAACTCGACAACCCATGCGTGTCGGGTCTAGGTTGGGGAACCTGACCCGTTTGCAAAAATCAGTTCGGGTTGACCCGTTTGGACCTGGATAAGGATGGGTTGGACCCGAACCCGACTCGTTGATCCATTTTGACAGCATAAAGAAGAATATATTATCTCTAATTCTAATCTTTCTATCTCCCGAATCAATACTTGCTCAAAAGTGATTAAATTGTTTTCCACTCCTACATATTTTCTGCTAAAAACATTAGCAACCACATTTATTTTTTTAGGCTGATAGATGATTTCCAAATCTTAGTGTTAAATCAGCTCCAACCACTTTTTATGTCTTATATTCAACTCTTTCTGGGTGAAAATATACTTCAAACTATGGATTCTTTTTTTTTTTTTAACTTCAAACTATGGTTGTTAGTATAAATCTCACATTTAATATCATACAAATAATGTTGTTAGATCTTCAATGCAAATGCAATAACCTTCAACTTCAAATCATGAGTCGGGTAGTTCTTCTCATGTGGCTTAAGTTGCCTAGAAGCATAAACCACCACTTTCTCATTCTACTGTAACACACATCACAGACCCTTCAATGAAGCATAGTTTTTCGCTTGAAATCTTGAACTCAACGAAATAGTCAACACAGGGGCTCACTTAAAACCCTCCAACTTCTGTTAACTTTGTTCACACTCTGGTGTTCAAGTAATCAACAAGACCTTCTGAGTCAACCTTGTCATAGGGATTGCAATTTGTGAAAAGGCTTTGACAAACTTTCTGTAATAATCTGCCATACCAAGAAAACTACGAATCTCAGTCATAGATGTCGGCCTTGGCCAATCCACTATAGTCTGTACCTTATGGGGATCTATAATAATCCCCTCTTTACTCATCACATGCCCCAAAAAAGCTACAGAAGTCAACTAGAACTCGCATTTATAGCACTTAGCATATTACTTCTATTGTCTCAGAGTCTTTAAGGTAAACTTCAAATGAACGACATGCTATTCTTCATACATCAAATGTACCAGGATATCATCAATAAATACAATAATGAATTGATCAAGATACTCACTGATCACTCGATGTATCAGATCCATAAACATTGACGATGCATTCGTTACATTAAATGTCATCAGCAATTTTCGCATTGCCAATTTGTAGTGCTGAAGGCTATCTTCGACACATCTTAAGCCTTCAACTCAACTGGTGATAACACAGTTGTACATTCCAACTAATTAAATAGATCATCTATCATGAACAATAGATATTTGTTCTTCACTATTTTCTTATTGAGCTCCTGAGAATCGATACATATTCTCAGAGATCCATTATTCTTCTTAACAAATAAAACTGGAGCTCCCCATGGTGATCCATTTGGCCTGAAAAAACCTCTATCTAACACTTCTACAGCGGCACCTTTAACTCCTACAACTCTCTTGTTTGTCCTTCGGTATAGAGTCTTCGCTATCGGAGTTATACCTGACACCACCTCAATTGAGAACTCTACCTCCCTCTTTGGAGGCAAATCAGATAATTCTGAAAGAGAAACATTGGGGAAATCTCTTACTACAAGAACTTCTTCAATACCTTTAACAGGTTTTTTCTAATCCCTTACATAAGCCCTAAATACAAAATTTTCCTTTCTCCATGCCCTATCTACTTGTGTTACAGAGGTTAAGGAGGATAGGATACTTTTAGCACTCTAAAATTGAAATATTTCTCCTATACATAAACTCACCCGCTTCTTGCTGCAATCAACCTGAGCCTAATATTTGCTCAACCATCCATTCATACTATTATATCGAATTCTTTAAGAATATTCCTACCATGCTTCATTCTAAGAATTATCATTTCAAAATGAAGCATGTTAGGAATATTCTAAAGCTGCATTTACTGTTGATCCAACTAGAAAATTGTTATTAACTTGACAAAGGTTCTGCATGGCAATGGCAATTTCGTGAATGTTAAAATTTTCTCTTTCTAAAATTTGAGATCAACACCATTTTTTTCTCAATCTGTTTCAAATTTAGAACTTTGAGCTTTTGGACAAATATCTCAATTCCCGTAATAACATTTGCTGCTTTATTATTGATCTGATGTTCTTGAAATTAAAGACAGTATACTAGCATTCATTCCTACAACTGTATGTTTTGATAGCTGGATTGTTTTTCTTTGATAAATTTAATTCAAAGTCCATACTTATTTTGAATCTTTTTTTATCATGCTGCATTATTGACTAACCACTTGGCCACTTGGCCTAGTCGCCTAGTGCTTTTCAATCAGAATACCTAATTAAGGTTTGGATATCATGAAGTTGCATTTCCTAAAGTTCAACTGTGATTTGAGGACCTTTTTTTTTTAACCTGCCCCAAATAAAGTAGAAGGCCTCCTTTAATCTCAATTTAACTGGTAGCATTTACAGCTTTATGATTACTTAATCCTGCTTCTACAGAAGTCATTTGATGATCAGTTTTGCTTCCACCTAAGTAATTTCATACTCAAAAAGCTTATATTTTGCTCATTGTCGATTAACTTCTGTGAAATGTCAAATAACTAACTGATCATTGATGGAATTGATAAACAGGTCATATTAGCTTTTACTTTCCCGGATGTGGAGCAATATTTACGGGCGATACACTGTTTAGCCTATCGTGTGGCAAAGTTTTTGAGGGAAACTCAGATCAGGTTGTTCTTCATTTTGAGCAATTTCTGTTCGTCTTACAAGGTTTCATTACTTCGATTGTAACCTCTTTTTTTTTTAAACTTGAAAATCAGTACAATCTTTATCCATGTGTTGGTTTTAGTTTTCTGAGTTAAAATACTGTAAGAATAAATGTCCAGAACGAGTACGTATTGAATACTTGGCCGTATGATGGAAGTAAGTCATCTGTGTACATGGAATTTTATTTAGTATGTTTCGTGCTTTTGTTTCAGATGCTTGCTTCACTTCAAAAAATCATGGCCTTGCCAGATGACACGGCTATATACTGTGGACATGAGTACACTCTGGTATATAGTTTTTCGCATGACTTGATAATTATGGCCATATACTGGAATGTAAACTTTCAATCAGTACTGAGAGATTCTTCATTTTGGTAAATTCTGAACAGAGTAATTCGAAGTTTGCTTTGTCCATAGAACCCAGAAATAAAGAACTAGTTGAGTACGCTTCTCAGATCGCTCAGCTTCGCTATAAGAACCTTCCAACGGTAATATTTGATAAATAAGCATTATTCTTACCTCCATGCACCATATATCCTCATGAAAGGAGGTCATTATTATTATTATTATTATTATTTTGTCGAAATAACAATTTAATGATGTTTTAGATTCCAACAACGCTGAAGATGGAGAAGCACTGCAACCCATTTTTGAGAACAAACAGTGCAGAAATTAGACATAGCTTGGGCATTCCAGCTGCTGCAAGTGAAGCTGAGGCATTGGGCATCATCCGCCTGGCAAAGGACAATTTCTAGGCTGGTGAGCATCTTTGTATTTAAAAGGTAACCCTGTATAGATTCAAGAGAATCAAATTTGTTAGTCTATATTGCTCTGCAGAAATTTGTTATGCTGGTGGGCTAACTCTGATATTGAACAGAAAAATCAAAGGCCTAACCAAACCAGAAAGTTGTTTGTTGTACATGTAGTAATTGAACTAGAGTAACAAGTTGTAAATTCTCCTCAATGATTGCTGTTTCAGCCTGGTTTTTTCGTGTTTGACCTGATAATTAGCTCAATTTTATGACTAGTTTTTATGAGCTTGTTTATATAAGAAGTCAAATATTGATATAAAAAAAAAAAGTCAAATATTGATAAGATCTTGTTTATTTGTATTTATCTTGATAGTAGCTTTATGATGAATACACATAAAAATGTGCATATATCCTTTATTTATATTCAGCTCGTTTTACTCCCATAATTTTGGTTGCGAGTCATGTTAAAGAAGCTGCTGTTATCTTTCGTTTGTAGCTGAAATTCGTATTTTTATTGTGACAGCCATTCTGTTCTGTTTATAGAACAACGAACAAGAAGGAATCACTTTATGTTCTTGGTTTTTGTTAGATCTAAGCAATGGGTGGCAGCCCGACAAAGCTGGCTCAATTTGTTAACTGGTGGATATAGATTGTTCGCCATGTTTTGCCTAACCTTAATCTATATTTTGCTAGGCTACTTGAATACAAGAGGGTTTATGATCATTAGGGAATTAATAAGGCTTCATGTCATAATTATTTTACAAATTTTATATTGGATGTCAATTGCATAACAGAATTTTTTTTTTCTCATTCAGGGTTTGGGTTTGGGTTTGGGACATCAGTAATGATAATGTTTATTGAATTATGGAGATCCAACTTTAGAATCTAAATGTTTTCATTTGAGTAGATCTAAAATTGAATGTATTGAGTGTAATTTTAGTGGTAATAGATCTATTGAGGATATTGTGATTTTGGGTGATCAAATCATTAAAAAGAGTACATATTTTAGATATCTCGAATCTGTTGTTTAAAGTGATGGTGAAATATACGAGGATATTATTAGTAGAATTCAAACTGGACAGTTGATGTGGACAAATGCATTGGGCTTGTTGTGTGATGGAGAAGTATCCCCTAAATTTAAGAGAGAATTTTATTAGATGGCGATGAAACCTACAATGCTTTATGACGCAAAATGTTTGCCCATTAAAAAGAGAAGCATAAAATTATGTGATGTAGAGATGAGGGTGCTCAACTGGATGAGTGGCTTAACACCTAGAAACAAAATTTGAAATAAGTACATACGTCAATAGGTTGGAGTAGCTCCAATGGAAGTTAAGATTAGTCATCTTAGATGATTTAGTCATGTAAAACATCAACCTTTTGATCACCTGATTAGGAGTGTAGATGTGTTAAATCTGGCCTATATTAAGAAAGATAAAGGTAGGTCTAAAAATATTTGATTATGAAGTATTAAAAATGATTTATTCTTATTAGATTTAAATAGGAATTTGACTTTTAATAAGACAGTGGAGAAAAATGATTCATATAGCTGATCCACGTAGTAGGATAAAGACTTGATGTTATTATTGTTGGGAATTAATGAGGTAGCAATGTAAGGTCTTTTTTTACTTTTCCTTTTATTATGGATCGATCAATGGAGAGAGAAGATGGAGAGGATGTTGTGTAACTCTTTTTCCTTGGCTCTTACCAAAAAAAAGGGTGTTTGAGCACATTAATAAATAACATATAATAATTGTAATTACATTTCTTAATGTAAGAGAGAGAGAGAGAGAGAGAGAGAGAGAGAGCATTATTTATTTCTTTTATCTCTTCCTTAATCATCTCATTAATTATTTAGTTTGAACAACTTTTAATTTAAAAAAATAGTAAAAAGCTTTACAACTAATAAATGGGAAGTCATTGCTCTACCTTTGATCATAACAGGTTATTAAAAAAAATTATGTTGCAATCTAGGAGCCCGAGCTTATGTTTTGATAACAAATATTATCGGACATTATCTATTGTCTCATATATGTTATCATTGCATATGTTTTTCTGTGTACTAATATTTCAATAACAACATACACCAAGCCAAGAGAAAGGATCAAGGCTCAAGATTGGGTAGTATATGATTGATCTTTTCAAAAGTCTGTATTTTTATCTTTCTTGAGTCAAAATATTGTAAAAAGTGTATGTAGCGTAGCGACCATGCACACACACAAGTGGGAGAAAAAAATTAAAGATTTTTTTTTTTTAATATCATACTGTACGGTATGAATCATACTACATGATATGCATGATAAAAATTTAATTAACATATTTTAATTCAGTGGATTAAATTTTGAACTAATCGAACCAAACAAATTAAATTGTACATGATGATCTGTTATAATTAGGAAATACCACCGTAAAATGAAATTTAGGCAATATTTTAAAATTTTATAATTTGTTCTAATTGAATTATACAAACTTATGCGTACTATACGATATTTAAAAATCTTATATAAATTAATTCTGAAATTTAATTAATCGAATCAGGCTTAATTAATCTTTAAGATTATACGATATGATTCACATCATACTGGACGAGCAACAAAGACGATTTTTATCATCCAGTAGTTCATCTTATACGAATTATGATTCGACTGAATTAATCTTACCATACAACCTTATGATCGTACTGGATGATCAATTAAATCTTTTGAACTAATCTTACAGGGAAACATTCATCATATAATACTAAAGGAAGAATTGAACTAATTGTATTGTAAGATCCTCATATTGTACTATATGACTAGATACGACTAAATTGAAAACCATGATTTTTTTAGAGCATGGTATTTAAACAGCTCTTATTTTGTTTTGAAGAGTCTTTGACAGTCAAGAGGCTTGAGTCTATTGTGAGAGAGAGTTTGAAATATGAGCTTTGGGCCTTGGGAGAGAAAAGTGTGTTGAGAGTGAGAGATAATAGCCTTATGGGATCAAGGGAGTATGTGAGAGAGACTCTTCACACAGTTGCTCAGTCATTGTCCACCTTCTTCCTCAATGAGTCAAAGATTTACTTGAGGGAAACTTCACGAGGAACCTTTTGGAGTCAAAGTGCCACTAAGAACTCCGCCGCATCTGGTTGATAAAGGGGATTCGGCTACTCTACCACACCGAGTTGGTGAAAAAAAATTTTTAAGGGCTTCTCTACCTTGCTATGGGGGTAAAATGAGAGACACTAAAGGTTTAGTTCAATATGTCCTCTCAGGAGTGGATGTAGGTCAATATTGAACGAATCACTATAAATTTATGGTGTGCTCATTCTTATTTTTCTTACTACACTTTAATTTTTGCATTTTACTTTCTTACAGCTTTACTTTCTTGCAAATTAACATTGAAAACAGAGATTGTTTTGGTTTCTTTTTTTTTTAACCTGCCCCAAATAAAGTAGAAGGCCTCCTTTAATCTCAATTTAACTGGTAGCATTTACAGCTTTATGATTACTTAATCCTGCTTCTACAGAAGTCATTTGATGATCAGTTTTGCTTCCACCTAAGTAATTTCATACTCAAAAAGCTTATATTTTGCTCATTGTCGATTAACTTCTGTGAAATGTCAAATAACTAACTGATCATTGATGGAATTGATAAACAGGTCATATTAGCTTTTACTTTCCCGGATGTGGAGCAATATTTACGGGCGATACACTGTTTAGCCTATCGTGTGGCAAAGTTTTTGAGGGAAACTCAGATCAGGTTGTTCTTCATTTTGAGCAATTTCTGTTCGTCTTACAAGGTTTCATTACTTCGATTGTAACCTCTTTTTTTTTTAAACTTGAAAATCAGTACAATCTTTATCCATGTGTTGGTTTTAGTTTTCTGAGTTAAAATACTGTAAGAATAAATGTCCAGAACGAGTTTGTATTGAATACTTGGCCGTATGATGGAAGTAAGTCATCTGTGTACATGGAATTTTATTTAGTATGTTTCGTGCTTTTGTTTCAGATGCTTGCTTCACTTCAAAAAATCATGGCCTTGCCAGATGACACGGCTATATACTGTGGACATGAGTACACTCTGGTATATAGTTTTTCGCATGACTTGATAATTATGGCCATATACTGGAATGTAAACTTTCAATCAGTACTGAGAGATTCTTCATTTTGGTAAATTCTGAACAGAGTAATTCGAAGTTTGCTTTGTCCATAGAACCCAGAAATAAAGAACTAGTTGAGTACGCTTCTCAGATCGCTCAGCTCCGCTATAAGAACCTTCCAACGGTAATATTTGATAAATAAGCATTATTCTTACCTCCATGCACCATATATCCTCATGAAAGGAGGTCATTATTATTATTATTATTTTGTCGAAATAACAATTTAATGATGTTTTAGATTCCAACAACGCTGAAGATGGAGAAGCACTGCAACCCATTTTTGAGAACAAACAGTGCAGAAATTAGACATAGCTTGGGCATTCCAGCTGCTGCAAGTGAAGCTGAGGCATTGGGCATCATCCGCCTGGCAAAGGACAATTTCTAGGCTGGTGAGCATCTTTGTATTTAAAAGGTAACCCTGTATAGATTCAAGAGAATCAAATTTGTTAGTCTATATTGCTCTGCAGAAATTTGTTATGCTGGTGGGCTAACTCTGATATTGAACAGAAAAATCAAAGGCCTAACCAAACCAGAAAGTTGTTTGTTGTACATGTAGTAATTGAACTAGAGTAACAAGTTGTAAATTCTCCTCAATGATTGCGGTTTCAGCCTGGTTTTTTCGTGTTTGACCTCATAATTAGCTCAAATTTATGACTAATTTTAATAAGCTTGTTCATTCATATTCATCTTGATAGTAGCTTTATGATGAATACACATAAAATGTGCATATATATTGTATGTTTTTTTATTTATATGAGTTTAAGTCTATATGTGTGATAATATGCATATTCTATAATTTATATATAATTATCAAGTTGGCTTTTTGTTTTTGAATAGCTCTTGTTTGGCTTGAGTGAGCTCAAAGGTTAGGGGTGTCAATATTTGACACGACCCGAAAATCCGACTCGACCCCGACCCGAAAATTTCAGGTTAGGGTCAATCCGAACCCGACCTATTTCGGGTTCGGGTTTAACCCATTTCAAAAATCGGGTCGGGTTAACCCTTTGACCCGAAAGTGACCCGATTTTGACCCTAAAACCCGATTTTGACCCGACAACCTGAGATTGACCCGTTTTTGACCCAAAAAAGAGGAGATAGACCCGTTTTTGACCCGAAAACTAACAATTTTTTGTTGGAAATCGGGTCGGGTTCGGGTCAGGAAAACTGACCCGTTTTCAAAATGGGTCGGGTTCGGGTTGACCCGAATAGTGCCGGGTCAATTTCGGGTTCGACCCGAACCCGACCCGTGACCTGAAATTGACACCCCAAGTTCAGCTCGTCTCATTATATTACTATCCTTTATTTATTTTCAGCTCGTTTTACCCCCATAATTATGGTTACGAGTCAAGTTGAAGCTGCTGCTGTTATCTTTCGTTTGTAGCTGAAATTGTTATTTTTATTGTGACAGCCATTCTATTCTGTTTATCGAACAAAGAACAAGAAGGAATCACTTTATGTTCTTGGTTTTTTGTTAGAGCTAAGCAATGGGTGGCAGCCCGACAAAGCTGGCTCAATTTGTTAACTGGTGGATATAGATTGTTCGCCATGTTTTGCCTAACCTTAATCTATATTTTGCTAGGCTATCTGAATACAAGAGGGTTTATGATCATTAGGGAATTAGTAAGGCTTCATGTCATAATCATTTTACAAATTTTATATTGGCTGTCAATTGCATAATGGAATCCTCTATTTTTCTTATTCAGAGTTTGGGACATTAGTAATGATAATGTTTATTGAATTATGGAGATCAACTTTAGAATCTAAATGTGTTCATTTGAGATCTAAAATCGAATATATAGAGTGTAAATTTAGTAGTAATAGATCTATTGGGGATATTGTGATTTTGGGTGATCAAATCATTAAAAATAGTATATATTTTAGATATCTCGAATCTGTTGTTTAAAGTGATGGTGAAATATATGAGGATGTTATTAGTAGAATTCAAACTGGACAAATGCACTGGGCTTGTTGTGTGATGGAGAAGTATACCCTAAATTTAAGAGAAAATTTTATTAGATGGCGATGAAACTTACAATGCTTTATGGCGCAAAATGTTTGTCCATTAAAAAGAGAAGTATAAAATTATGTGATAAGAGATGAGGGTGCTCAAGTGGTTGAGTGGCTTCACACTTATAAACAAAATTTGAAATAAGTACATACGTCAATAGGTTGGAGTAGCTTCAATGGAAGTTAGGATTAGTCATCTTAGATGATTTAGTCATGTAAAACATCTGCCATGATTAGGAGTGTAGATGTGTTAAATCTGACCTATTTTAAGAAAGTTTAAAAAGATTTGATTATGAAGTATTAAAAATTATTTATTATTATTAGATTTAAATAGGAATTTGACTTTTAATTGGACAGTGGAGAAAAATGATTCATATAGTCGACCCACGTAGTAGGATAAAGACTTGATATTATTATTATAGGGAATTAATAAGGTAGCAATATAAGGTCTTTTTAACTTTTCCTTTTATTATGGATCGATTTATGGAGAGAGAAGAGGGAGAGGATGTTGTGTCGCTCTTTTCCTTGGCTCTTACCACAGAAAAGGGTGTTTGAGCGCATTAATAAATAACATATAATAATTGTAATTACATTTCTTAATGTGAGAGAGAGAGAGAGAGAGCATTATTTATTTCTTTTATCTCTTCCTTGATCATCTCATTAATTATTTAGTTTGAACAACTTTAATTTAAAAATTAGTAAAAAGCTTTACAACTAATAAATGGGAGATCATTGTTGTACCCTTGATCATAACAGGTTATTAAAAAAAAATTATGTTGCAATCTGGGAGACCGAGCGTATGTTTTGATGATAACAAATATTATTAGACTTTATCTATTGTCTCGTATATGTTATCATTGCATATGTTTTTATGTGTATTAATATTTCAATAACAACATACACCAAGCTAAGAGAAAGTATCAAGGCTCAAGATTGGGTAGTATATGATTGATCTTTTCAAAAGTCTTTATTTTTATCTAATATCATACTGTACGGTATGAATCATACTACATGATATGCATGATAAAAATTTAATTAACATATTTTAATTCAGTGGATTAAATTTTGAACTAATCGAACCAAACAAATTAAATTGTACATGATGATCTGTTATAATTAGGAAATACCACCGTAAAATGAAATTTAGGCAATATTTTAAAATTTTATAATTTGTTCTAATTGAATTATACAAACTTATGCGTACTATACGATATTTAAAAATCTTATATAAATTAATTCTGAAATTTAATTAATCGAATCAGGCTTAATTAATCTTTAAGATTATACGATATGATTCACATCATACTGGACGAGCAACAAAGACGATATTTTATCATCCAGTAGTTCATCTTATACGAATTATGATTCGACTGAATTAATCTTACCATACAACCTTATGATCGTACTGGATGATCAATTAAATCTTTTGAACTAATCTTACAGGGAAACATTCATCATATAATACTAAAGGGAGAATTGAACTAATTGTAGTGTAAGATCCTCATATTGTACGATATGACTAGAGACGACTAGATTGAAAACCATGGTTTTTTTTAAAACATGATATTTAAACAACTCTTATTTTGTTTTGAAGAGTCTTTGACAGCCAAGAGGCTTGAGTCTATTGTGAGAGAGAGTTTGAAAGATGAGCTTTGGGCCTTGGGAGAGAAAAGTGTGTTGAGAGTGAGGGATAATAGTCTTATGGGATCAAGGGAGTATGTGAGAGAGACTCTTCACACAGTTGCTTCGGTCATTGTCCACCTTCTTCCTCAATGAGTCAAAGATTTACTTGAGGGAAACTTCAGGAGGAACCTCTTGGAGTCAAAGGGCCACTAACAACCCTGCCGCATCGGGTTGATGAAGGGGATTCGGCTACTCTACCACATCGAGTTGGTGAAAAAGATTTTGTAAGGGCTTATCTGCCTTGCTATGGGGGTTAAAATGAGAGACACTAAAGGTTTAATTCAATATCCATAGAGGACTCTGAGGAGTGAATTTAGGTTAATGTTGAACGAATCACTATAAATTTATGGTGTGCTCATTCTTATTTTTCTTACTACACTTTAATTTTTGCATTTTACTTTCTTACAGCTTTACTTTCTTGCAAATTAACATTGAAAACAGAGATTGTTTTGGTTTTAATTGTTGTTAGAAAATAAAATAAAATTATGAAAAAAAAAATATTTTTTAAACTTATTTTTCTACAAAATAAAAAAAAATAACATTTGATTTTTATTACTATTAGTTTCTACATCACAAGATCTAATTTTGAACATAAGTTTTGAATTTGGTTGTAATTTTCAAAAAGAGATTTTTGGAGAAGAAAATTTTTTAAAGCATCAATTCACCTTCTTTGTGTGTCATTATAGTTCAAGTGGTCTAACAACCACAAATCAAACTTACAATTAGTATTAGCGCAGCTTTTCCGAATTAGTGGTTTAAAAACCTTAAGAAAAATATCCATGACGTAATTTGGCAATAGGAATATTGTGGAGGGTTATTCAATAACCTATCCACCCTTATTTGATAATATTCCATTTGATATTTGAAAAATTCACATATCTATTTTCTTGCAATCAATTAATTATCTCATGTGGTATATGATTAAAGGTTGTTATTTTTTTTCCTTTGTGTATAATTAATGGTGCTAAAATTAAAATTTTGTTTACTGAATGGAGCATTGAGGATAAAAATTATGCACAACTTAATGTCAAATGCTTAAACTATTTTTTTATGTACACTTAAATCAGAAGACTGTATGAGAGTCTCTACTTTCACAATTGGTAAAGAAATTTATGATAAACTTTGTATCATGTATGAAGGCACAAACGAAGTGAAACAATCCCGTTTAAATTTATTGGTGCATGAATATAAACTCTTCCGCATGAAACCTGATGAAACTATATTTGACATGTACATTAGATTTATCAAAATTGTGACATCTTTGCATGCCTTAGGAAGAGAACTATCTAATTATGAGAAAGTCAATAAGATCTTATATTGCTTACCTGATAGTTTTGATGCTTAAGTCACTACAATATGTGAATCTAAGTATCTAAATGTATACTCTATTGATAATTTGTTGGGCTCTTTTATTACTTATAAGCAAAATGCGAGCCAAAAACTTTTGAATGCAGGTGACAAAAGAAAGGAGAAGAGCATAGCGCTAAATGCCGATGATACAGATAGCAATAGTTCTAGAGCTAATGATAATAATAACATAGCCTTGATGACCCGACAGTTTAAGAGCTTTCTAAAGAGAAAATAAAAGCGCTATCATGACGGTAGTAAATGTAAAGCAACTAAATTTAATAAAATTTCTCTTGACGTTGTGTGCTTTGAGTGCAGGAAGCCATGATATTAAGTCTAATTGCCCCAATTTCAAAAATCACCCAACTAAGAAAAAGGGGGAATAAAAATTCAACTCCAAAAAGGCAAGCAAAACACACAAAAGGTCTTCTGGGCAGAGTTAGTCTCGAATTTATCTAAATAAGAACTTGAGGAGGATGTAACTAATTTGTGTAATGGCCAATGATACAATTGTTAACTCCGATCAAGTAGATGTACTTATGAAGATTTATTTTTAA